GGCGCGGCGAGCGCGGCCTCGATCGCGCTGGGGTCGTTTTCCGGGCAGCGGCGCATCTCGTAGCGGCGCAGATCGAAGTGTTCGATTGGCAGCGCGTCGAGTTTGTGCACGGCGCGGTGCGCGCGGAACTGCTGCAGCACCGCGGCTCTGGCGGCCTCGCTGCGCAGCGGCAGCGTCATGTACGTCTCCTGCAGCGCGTAGCCGAACTTGCGGTAGTAGTCGCGCGTGCCGACGCCGGCGATTACGGCGACTTGCTCCGCGCCTTTGAGCAGCGCGAGCGTGTGCGCGACGGCGAGCAGCGCGCGGCCGACGCTGCGGTGCTGCGCGCTCTGCTCGGCGGCTTCGGCGCGCGCGCGCAGCACTTGCCCGTACACGTGCAGCTCGCGGATCAGCCACGTGCAGCCTGCGAGACACGCGAAGGCGACGCGCCGCGCGCCGCGCGGCTTGCGCAGCCGGCAGAAGCCGACGATCTGCGCGCGGTCGGGCGACTCGAGCGAAATGAAGTACTCGCGCGCGTCGCCGCCGCCGCTGTAGCTGCGCAGCACCGCGGCGCACTCGCTGAGCGCGAGCGGCGCGTTGCGGATCTCGCGGCAGCGGATGCAGGCGCACTGCCAGCCGGCCGCGTGGCTGACGTCCTGCAGCACCTGCCGCAGGTTCGTTTGCTGGTTGCCTGCGATGATGCTGGGGTTCGGAATGTCGCGGATTACGCGGTTCAGCCGGATCCAGGGGAAGATCGCGCGCTTCACGTCGAGAATCACGCTCATCAGCTCGAGCGCGCCGGCCGCGGACTGCGCGTACGGCGTGTACGCGCCGCGCTCGTACCACTCGGCGATTTGCGAGAACGGCACTACTTCGCAGGGGTAGATCTTCCACTGGTCCGCCTGCAGCGCGGGGTCCGCGAGCACGCGCTGGAACATTTGCGCGTCCGTCGCGGGGCGCGAGCCGGGCAGGTCGGGCATCAGGTGGATGTCGATCTTGAAGCAGTTGTCCTTCAGCAGCGCGCAGGCGGCGGCGACGTGCGCGAGCGTGTGTCCGCGGTTGATGTAGCGCAGCACCGCGTCGTCGGTGTGTTGCACGCCGAGCTGTACGCGCGTGCAGCCGAAGCGGCGCAGGCGCTGCACTTCTGCGAGCGTCACGCAGTCGGGGCGCGTTTCGAGCGTCAGCCCGATTATGCGGCAGCCCGCGCGCTCGTTGAGCTGCTGCTCCTCTTCGAGCGAGCGCGGCGCGCGCAGTCGCTGCTTCGCGGCGCGGAGGGCCGCGAGCGGCGCCAGGTGCGGCGGCAGATCGGGCGCGGCGTCGCGCGGGCGCGGCGCGCCCGGCGCGAGCGCCTCGAGCGCCTGCTCGAACGTGTTCGCGGCGAAGTACAGGTCGCGGCAGAACGCGGCTTGGTACGCGGCCGGGTAGCCGCTCCACGTGCCGCCGAGCACTAGCACCTCGACTTTGTCGACCACGTGCCCGTTCGCACGCAGCGTGCGCCCGCGGTCCCAGAACTGCGCAGCCGCGTCCCACTCGCACTGGTTCCCGCGCAGCACGGCGGGCTCGGTGCTCAGGTAGGAGCGCGGCTGGCCGGGTTCCTTCGGGCAGTAGTGGCAGTCGTGCGCGCAGGAGAACGCGCCGGGCGAGGTGAGCACGGTGACGACGTTGACGCCGCTGGCGGAGCGCACGGCTTTCTTCTGGAACGCGCGCCGGAGCAGCGCGAGCGTCGGCGCGTCGAGCGCGGCGGCGCGCGTTTCCAGCATGCGCGCGAGCGTGTGCTTGCTCGGGGCGCAGTGCGAGAGCCGGCGCGCGCACGCGTGCAGCGCGGCGGGCGCCGCGTCGGGCGTTTCACGCAGCGCCGCGAGGTAGGCGTCGAAGTAGGCGAAGTCGCGCGGCGTCGGCTCCGCGGCGGCTTCGAAGCCGCTCCACTGCGTCAAACTGTGCTTCAGACTGCGCAGGTGCCGCAGCACGTGCTCGTTGTGCAGGTCGGCGTGCGAGAACGCCTCGACGGCTCCGGCGCTGCGTCGCGCGCGGCGGAACTTACTGCGCGGCAAAGTCTGCTTGGCGCGCCGAGAGCAGCGCGTTGAACTCCTCCGGCTGCGGCGCGGACATCGGCGCAGCTGTGTCGCTCGCAAGGTCGCCCGCAGCTTCGCGATATTGCGATAATTGGCGAATTTCGAGAATTGCTTCGCAATAATTAGTTTCGGACAGCCATGGCGGACGCGGGCGCGGACAACTTCGAAATCGAGGAGTTCAAAATCAAGCGACTCATCAAGGCGCTCAGCGCGGCGCGCGGGAACGGCACTTCGGTGATTACGCTCATCGTGAAGGCGCGCGACGACATCAGCCGCATCGGGCGGCTGCTCACGGAGGAGGCGGGCACGGCGTCGAACATCAAGTCGCGCGTGAACCGGCTCTCGGTGCTGTCGGCCATTGCGTCCGCCGCGCAGAAGGTGAAGACCTACTCGCGCACGCCGCCGAACGGGTTGCTGATTTTCTGCGGCTCGGTGCTCAACGCGGACGGCAAGGAGCGGAAGCTGAGCATTGCGATCGAGCCGTTTCGGCCGATCACGAGCTCGCTCTACGTGTGCGACAACCACTTCCACACGGACGCGCTCGCGGAGCTGCTCGAGTCGAACGAGACGTTCGGCTTCATCGTGATGGACGGAAACGGCGCGCTGTTCGCGACGCTGCAGGGCAACAACCGCACCGTGCTGCAGAGCTTCAGTGTCTCGCTGCCGAAGAAGCACGGGCGCGGCGGGCAGTCCTCGGTGCGCTTCGCGCGGCTGCGCGTGGAGAAACGGCACAACTACGTGCGGCGCGTGGCGGAGGTCGCGACGAAGTGCTTCATCGCGAACGACAAGCCGAGCGTGAAGGGGCTGATTCTCGCGGGCTCTGCGGACTTCAAGAGCGTGCTCGCGCAGAGCGACTTGCTCGACCCGCGGCTGGGGGCGGTGATTCTGAAGGTCGTCGACGTGTCCTACGGCGGCGAGAACGGGCTCAACCAGGCGATCGAGCTGTCGCGTGAGTGTCTGAGCAACGTGAAGCTGCTGAACGAGAAAAAGGTGATCGGCGCGTTTTTCGAGGAAATCTCGCTGGACTCCGGGCGCTACGTCTACGGACTCGAAGACACGACGGCCGCGCTGCACATGGGCTGCATCGAAAAGCTGATTTTGTGGGAGAACTTCGAGGCGTACGCGCTGTTGTTGCGCGGCGGCGCGCAAGAAGAGCCGACGTCCGCGTACTCGTTGAAGCCTTACGGCGTCGGCGAGCAGTTCACGCCGCCCGACTCGGACGCGCCGCGCGAAGTCGTCGAGTGCGTGCCGCTCGACGAGTGGATTATCGAGAACTACAAGAGCTTCGGCGTGGAGCTGTGCTTCGTGACCGACGCGAGCCAGGAAGGCTCGCAGTTCGTGAAGGGCTTCGGCGGCATCGGCGCGGTGCTGCGCTACAAGGTCGAGTTTGAGCAGCAGCACGTCTCGGACTGCAGCGACTACGACTC